ATCATCGCCTTACTACTGCTTAGCCATAGGGGCCCATTGATTTATAGCTGTTTCTTGCCGGCTAAAATGCGAAACTATTGTACTGTAGTGTTAAAGTAAAGGGGCAATTCTTCTAGCGGGAAGGCGCTGATTGGAGTTTCATCCAAGCTGGAAAACTGCCATCCACACTGGATGCCGGTTAAATTATCTCTTCTTTTCTGTTATGATGGATCGGATCAAGTGATTGATCCATAGATTTATCATCGCCTTGCTACTACTTAGCCATAGTAACCAATGGGCCCATTGATCCAGTGGGTAAACTGGCAATCCAATTCATTTCTTACGGGCTAAAAAAAAAATCATGCTCATGGTAACGGGAATATTTCCTCTAGCAAAAGCGCCTTGATTGCAAATAAACCTAGACGGTAAGCTATCATCAACAGACGATGGCGATGTTTAGTCTCTTCTTTTTTTATGGCGATGGATTGGATCGCGTTGTTGATCTATAGGATAAGGATTGTATTCCTACTGGTGGCCCATTGAGCAACCCAATTGCCATCGTGTTTATTTCTTGAAGAGGATAGCAGCTATCCTAGGGTATTTCTTCTATCGGAAAGCAAGTTGATTTGATCGTATCGACAAGGTATCGTCCAACGCAAAGAGGGCTTTTACTCCACGCTTTCTTTTGGCCATGGATCAGATCGAGTAGTTCAAGGATAGGATAACAAACAGCGGATAGCAATTGTAGTGGATTCATTGCTGCCATGATCGATCCAGTCCTTCTTGCTCATCGTCAAGTTGGCGATAGAAAGGATACAGAAAGAAGATTGCATTCATTCTATCGACGAGGACAAGGCATATTTCAAAGCAAGAAACGATGCCAAGGATAGACTGTCTTGGATTGGATCTTGCCGTGATGTCGAAAATGGACAAATTTGTCAAATTTTGTAGTCGGATAGTGCATGCAAACCATTCAAACGTAGTCATAACACAAGGTTGTATTTGTCAGCAGATTGTTGCGACGACATGACTAATCTGTCTTGATTCAACAGACGTCAAAAATTACTAGTCAACACTTTCATCCATGACGATATTTTAAAAGCATCAAGGCTAGATGACAATTGACAGCATTCAAATCCAGTAGTACTGCATGGATAGTCTTGCTTAGACTGTCCATTTATCCACGGTTGCGATACGATCCATCCATATTTACCCTAAGTTAAACCATGCTAGGATGAGTGGACTATCGTCCATCACCAATGAATAATGGACAACGTTCTCGATGCAAGCTATAGGATACCAGATGAATGGTCAAAATATACGTAAACTACTAAAAGTGCACTTGGATTGAATCTTGAGTTGATTTTTTGGGTCCATCATGCCGTTATTCGAGGCTAGAGAGCGCGTTTGATGATCAAGGAGGATGGGGATTATAGTGGTTGGTCGATCAATGGAGTAGGATAACATTCATGAAGGCATGGATAGGCAAGCTAATTCATGCCCTTCTACAAAGCTGAGAATAGACTTAAATTGAATCTCCCGTCTCTTTTTCTTCATCATCAAGTTGTTGATCGAGGCTGGCTAGTGAGTTTATACAATCATCATGGCTTACTTCTTCTACAGCAGTAAATGATCTAGTCGTATTTATCCATCGTTGGATTATGGCTTCCAACGGGGGTGGGGGAATCCGACTAGACGCTGCAAGATGAAAATGCATTTGGATTCCATTGCAGTTTATTTTCATCCAGGCTAAAATCGCCATGCGAATCCTCAGATGGAGAACCATTGGTATTGATTAGACACTACAATATGAAAATCAACTTGGATTCAATCTTAAGTTGATTTTCATCCATCTCTTTGCCGTGAATACAGGCTAAAATCACTGAGAAAATGCCTGCTCTTTGTGCCAGCTAACTTGTATTTGTCCGCAGTATTTATCAACGCCACAACATGAAATCTAGACTTGGATTGCAATCTCAAGTTCATTTTCATCGCCATGTTGGTAATGAAGACTACTGTAAATCATGCCTTTCTAGAAAGAGTCTGAGGACTAAGAGGGGTAGTCGTCGGGTTAGTTTGTATTTTATTAGTAGGATTGATTGGAAAAGTCGAATTTTCTCGACGTCAAAAGTAGACAACGTCCCCCTGCCAAGATGATCAAGATGGGAGAATTCCCACTCTATGAGCTCAATTAGACGTAATCACACAACCCGATACCAGAATCAAAATAAAGTCATGGCCAATTATCCATAGATTGATTGACCTCTAAACTAACAACTAATTATCATGAATGAATGAATTAATCCACTGGATGATGTTATTGAACCCACCGACTATCCATGCTAGACATAACTTGGCAAGTTGTTTGTAAACGCGTAATCCACATGAGTTCAAAGCATTGAGAAAGGAGGATTTGTTTGATTTTATTAACTTGATTTGATTGCCCTCTCTTCTTCGAGAGATCAAATGATGATGAAGATGGAGTATTCTGCCTATCCTTGCAATGGTCTCGATGCATTGATTTTGCAGTTTAGTTTGGACTGCTTAACCCCTAAGCCTACGTAAGAATTAATCTACTATGACTTTTCAAGTGGTTTGCTTTGCCTTCTCTTCCTACAGAGATGGAATGATGATGATGATGATAGACTATTCTTGAAATGGTCTCGATGCATTGGTTTTGCAGTTTAGTTTGGACTGCTTAACCCCTAAGCCTACGTAAGAATGAATCTATCATGGCTTTTCAAGTGGTTTACTTTGCCCTCTCTTCCTACAGAGATGGAATGATGATGATAGATTATTCTTGGAATAGTCTCAATGCATTCATTTTGCAATGAAATTTATCCTTGACTGCTTACTTCTAACGTTACGTAAGAATTGATCGACCATGATTTTGCAAGTGGTTTACTCTGCCCTCCATTCCTGCAGAGATTAAATGATGATAAGCTATCCTTGCCATGGTCCCACTACGTTCCTATTTCAATTGGATTTTATCCTTGCCAGTTGTTTGCAAGTATAATCGACATGAGTTAAAAGAACCCAAAAAGGAGAATTTTATGTTTTAGTGGGGACTTGATTCCAGAGGCCTCCATTTCTAGACAGATTGAATGATAATCATCCCTCTCCTTGGAATTGTATCAATACATTTCTAGCACTTTACGATCTCATAAGACCATCCCAAGCAGGGTCTTGAACTATGGCAAAGTTCTATTTTATTCTCGTCTATCTTGTATCCATTCTAATTCTAAATGGGTAGACTACTGCTGTTGATGGACATATGCAGTAGGAGGTATTTCTTGCCGGTACAACCTGGCTTTCCCTAGCACTTGTCTATGAGTCAGCGTACTCTGGAAGAACATCATGGGCAAGATGCTTAAGCAAAGCCCTCTTCGAGGCGTTGCGATCTATTCCATCTACCGTACTTTATTTCTACCGGGTGAGACCAAAGGTTCGATTAAAATGGCCGTTGATTCATGTTCTTTCCACTGCTACTATAGCATAAAATAATGGTATTTTCTTCTTCATTAGAATAACCGTGTAGTATCTATCATTCAGCTTATTCTCCATAAGCATCAAATGCAAGAAATGCTATTCTCATAGCATCAGGAAAAGGGGTATTTTGTCACGTCTTGATTCATTTTATTCTACTCGTATTGTATCCTTTGCCATCAGCTTAACTCCGCCATAAGCATCGATTGCAAGAAATACAAATACTTATTGCATAAGCAAAATCGGTATTTTGACTCGTCTGTATTCATGTTATGCTATTGCATCCTTTGCGATCAACTTAACTCCATCCACTAGGAGCATCGAATGCAAGAAATACAATCCTCATTGCATAAGCAAACTGGATATTTTGACATGTCCTTGTTCATGTGTTTCAGGATCAGTTTAACTCTACCTCTACTCTGCTATTTCTTGCTGGCAGTCAGATCAGGTAAAAAGACATGTTGATAGGGTTATGAAGCTTTACTTTCTTGACTGCTAGAAATGGACTACAATCGATTGAAAAAATTCTACATTATAACCCCTTGCTAGCATACAACAATAACTATTAATCAAGTTATCATGATTGCCATCAGGGATAATTTCATGTCATAGCATCAAGAGAAAATTGTATGCAAATAAACAATCAACATTGAGGCTTATGATTGGCCGTAGTTGCTTCATTTCAATAGTCAGCTGGAGAGGAAAACAAGTATTGCCACCCAATTAAAGAATAAAGCTCTATGTACAATAATCATAGTGAAAGGTACAACCATGCATGCCCATCTTGGAAAAGAAGAATTAGACCACTTTTATCATAGTACATCTAGGGGATCGACATGACTAGTGAACGGACTCGATTTCACTTTCTATCCCCGTCCATTGATCGAGGGATATCATCAAGGGTAAACGTACATATAAATAGACAGTAAAATAGATACACTGTCATCAAGAGAAGAATTTCCATGATAATCATTATTCAGAAAAAGCCAAATTTCATCATTGATGTCAATAAACATATGTTGCAGCATACGGTCTATCCTCGTTGTTTACACATTTGCTACCTTTCCTTTAGGCAATTTGGTTGAGCTACTGATCCAGCATAATGATAAGACAAGATAGTATGATCAATGCTTCTCTCTTGACACCAGTTTACAACATGGAAGTAGATTGAAAAAGAAGGAGATCTTGCAGTGGTTGTTGTTTAGTTTTGATTAGCCTTATTGCTTGTCAAGACACCATTGTAGTGGTGCTGATTTTTTTCCAATAATCAAAACCCCCAAAAAGTGCAATTGCAACTATTGTTCATCGTCAAGGCCTGCTACATTGATCAACAAAATTAGTCTTGGCCTTTCCCTATGGGCAGTCAATTACATCTGTCAAAGTAGGCGATATTGATTGAAAGTAGACGAATCATTGCCAAGACGAGAAGGATGATAACAGTGATTTAGTTAAAATCTTGTTATTACATTGTCAAGCAGTGATTTTATAACTTAATTATAACATCAATGCTAAACGATTAATTGCTAAAATAAAATATGCGTCGTAGGAGTGGTAATTTCCTATCCTACTACTTTAATGACAATAATAGCTTGGTTAGATGAGCTTTTTGATGAAATTAGTTCCATTCATGAGGCATACAGAAAGCATCTCTACCTTGACGCATAAGCTATCATTTAAAACCAGCTGCTATTGACAACTCGATACCATTGTTCAAGTGAAAAAATCCAATGTCAACGAAATAAAAACGATTATAGCCTCTAGTTGATTTTACCCTTTAGGATTAACGCTTAAAAGAGTTATTGCTTGGTTGACTTTTTTGTTCATATTGTAAAAGGTTCAAAATTTATTCGTTATCCTATGCCTAACAACCATCATCAGTAGAAAATGCCTAAATTGACTTGCAATGTGTTTTGTTTCAACCTATTAAATTAGATCAATGGATAGAAACTATTTCCTCGATATAGTTTGTAAGGAAGAAGAAAGACTCAAAAGTCTTTGTCAATATTGGGAAGGTGTCGCTCATGAAGAAAATGTCCCCGATGAAGGTAAAAACGACATGGTACTTGCTATCCATTTCCTTACCATAGCACTATTTTTTGACACTAGTGGATAGAAATACTAGTGTTTGCATTCATCATAATGGATACCTAGCAGAATGAAAATGTTTCATCAATTATAAAACATCATCATATTATTGTTGTTATTGGACAGCATTGGGAAGAATACGTGCTGCTATCGGCAAATCAGGTCTTTTATTGAATAAGAAATTTCAACAGTTTAGGAAGTTATGTGGTACTAGTGTAAGTGCTTTCATATTATCGCTTATAATCATTGTATCAAAATTACTACATATGCAATACAAGTAGCATTACCATAGTCTTGACGGTAGTTTTTCTTCCTAATGGTATAACATGGAAAAACTACAAAAAATGGATCATTTCTAGATTTTAATATTCCAGTGATTCGGATAGTCTGCAATATTTTTATCATGGTTTAAGACGGTTTTGATGTAGTAGCTCAAGACTCGATAAACCCATAATGGTGATGCATGCATCATGTACAGTAGACGAGATTGCAGTAGACTCGCTCGCTAATAGTATAAAAATGAATCATTTCTACATCTTGATATTCAAGTGATACATTTGAATGTTTTATCATAGCTAAAAACGCTTTTTGTGTAGTAGCTTGAGACTCGATCATTAGTGATGCATGTAAACGATACTGTATAGTATACTCGCTCGCTAATAGTGTAAAATGGATCATTTCAACATCTTGATAACTGATATTCAAGTGGTGAGGATGATGTTGAACCTTTTATCATGGCTAACAACAGTTTTGTGTAGTAGCTTAAGACTCGGTAATGTAATTGATATTCAAGTGATTAGAATAGTCTTGAACATTTTATCATGGCTAAAAGCGGTTTTTGTGTAGTAGCTGGAGATTCAATAGACCGATAATGGTGATCCATGTAGACGATATTGTAGTATTTTCCCTAATAGTATAATGAATCATTTCTAGATATTACAGTGACTAGCAGCATTTTATCATGGCTAAAAATAATAGTATACTAGCTTAAGATGGAGCAGTGTTGTATGTAGACGATATTACGGTATGACATAGAACTAGCAGTGGAAGGAGGCAGTAGTACTTGGTTATGTTAGACTCGTCAAATTATCACAACCTGTTATAGAGTACATTGTGAAGATTTGAGATCATGCTTTCATGCAAATGGCATAGCTTACGTAAGCATTGTAAAGGTGTGATAATTGACCATAGCTTTAAACTAGCTATCACCAAGAGTATGTCGCTTTTTTTATTGCAACTGATGTTAAGAAAGACAATGTGATAGTTATGGAGAAGAGTAGAAATTGCTCATGCAAGAAATCACAACCAAGATTGGACTATTATATCTATGCACTATAATAGTGTCGATTAAAAGAGCTAATGTTGTCATTTATAACGAATACTATAGTATTCATATTAATACAATCAATCGAATCGGATATATTATAGGATGATGTAGAAAATGGTCGAGAAACCAAAGTATCCGATCTCCAAGGATTTTGGGATATGGTATTAATCCAAGTAGGTGTTTGTGATAGCATCTTTCACTTTGACGTGTACAGTATACATTATGATTTAGTTAGGCATTTTTCAATGCATGACAAGTGGAAATTGATGCTAGCTTGCAATTTTTTCGCGTGTTTTTTTACATTGGTACAAGTTGACTAATCGATAGCAAAGTGTTAAATAATATTTTACCTATCGATAGTAGTGGCATCGACAGACCGATAATTTTGCAAATTTTCTTACTTAAAGCTATACTGTATACGCATACATTACATAATCATGGTATTGTTTTTACTGTAAATATGCAGATATTTACCCATGAATTAGCAACATTGTAGAACTATCGCAATAAAAGTCATTTTCACCATATTGATACCATAAACGTGAAAAGAGAACTAAACATACATTATAGATTTTTAAATTACCGTTGCACCAAATTGAATACGTTGCATTATCATTTCTTTTCAATTCATATTGAGATGAAATCCTTTATTTTCCTACTAGGTTGATAGTGTTACCGAGGCATTTAAGAGTTTACAACTTTGTAAAGACAATGATTGGGCAGAAAATGATGATTGTAAAAATGTAGTCAAAGTAAGTAGATTATGATGCTTTACAATTTCCCATGAGTTTTTCCAATTGGGAAGTTAACCCGAGAGTAGAATTTTCAATTTTATACAGTTCAATTTTTATTAATCGTTCAATATATATACAATGTATAACTCATGGTGTAATACACGTCAAATTTTCTCTTGTTAAGACTTCTTCATCTAGTAAGCGAAAAGTAATGCTTAGACAATCAGCGGTAGAGAAACAAGCTACTGAACCACCACAGCCTTCACCGCAGGCAGAAGAGAAAGCTAGAGTTAGGGAATTATTTAGAAAGCAGTTACAAGAAATGAAAAAGGAGGGCAGAAAACGAGTGCCTAAAAGAATGTCCGATTCGATTGAAATCTATGCACCCGATGTTATGATCATTGAATCCCCGTCTAATTATAAATGATAATATTTCATATTCGATTCTATGCTTATATCTATTTATCAAATAGGTAGTGCATTAGATTAGACGACAAATTTTCTATTAACTATTTTGTTTCTTCCTAAGACTGACACAGATTTAATACGCACAGCATGGCTATGTTTTTCTAACGCTTAACTACTGTATAATTACAGTATCTTTACCGCTTGCATGTTTCTTTAATATTTCTATTCACTCGCCGTCATAACCTTCATATTAACCGATTACTTTAAAAAGAGAAAATTACTATGATTATTCTTCATTTATACTAAAAACATTTACCTACCTCTAATACATTTTCTATACTCTTTATTCTACAACGAGATAGAATTATACCGTTCAATTTCAGCTTTATGCTGCTGTTTGTTTTCTTGGTCTACTTTATATGTATGCTCAAGTTGCGATAAATCACAACAAATTATCTTCTCAAATTCACAATACTAGTACTGAATATGGTATCGTTAACGCTAAAGATTACTCAGTGAATTATTCTGCAAAGCAAAAGTCAATTAGATGACGTTATTATTATGATTTAATATCGTTGTTGTACAGTATATGCTATGTGCAGTGAATTCATTAACCAATCCTATAACATGCTTAACATCATCATCAGACCATATTCTGCACTAACCTTCCAAGAGACTACCAAAAAGTATTTATTAACGGCTGATATCGTAAATTCAGTTGATTCTGTCATTAATGCATGTTTTATTCAATGTTTGCATTTGTAATATTGATGTTATTTTATCCGCGCTTTCTAGCCATGTTGAATGCGTGCACGATGTCTTTTTTAAAGTCGCAATTGTTCAACTAAACTATATGCAAAATTATCTGATGACGTTATAGCCATTTTTATATCATTTCTAATTTCATTATATCTTTAATTTTTGCACTATCGCATCCTGTATGGATACTTGCTATGATCTGTTCAGTTGTAATATCATTCTGAAATCAAACATGTTATTATTAATATTATTAATATTATTATCTATAATATTATTATGATGATTCATATTATTACTCATGTTATTATAATATTATTATTATCTAATAATGTCGTGTCTGGTATTAACCGTTGTGGATGCATTCGAAACGCGGTCAGGCTCGCTAAACCCAAAAAGGCATAAGGAAATAAAATAAGCACCAAAGTTTATGACTAAAATGCAATGGCTGTATTGATCGATCGTTCTATGTGGATACTGTGTCGATAGAAATACTGTAATGCTGTATTACACCGTAGGAAATTAACTCTATTACATCTATTTCGCAAGCAAGTGAGTTTATTGCGGTCGATTTGCTGTCATTATCAAATGGATTCCCCTTCTTTAAATTTGAAGTTAGAAGAGATGCTATGACACCATTAAACTTGAGACATACTTTGTCGCTTTATTTTGTTTCATCACAGATGGATAATCTTGACATGTGCAGTTTACAATTTTATTTTGAATCAAAGTCCTATGCTTTCATCGATTTGAATTTAATAGACTACTTTCCATTCAGAAGGGCCTTCACAATTTGATTGATGATGATTACAGAGTTGATTATAAGTCATTTTGGACTTGAAACCCATCAGTTCTCGCTCTTCATAAATACGGAAAGAAAAGGTTGATTCCTTAGAGCCGATGAAATATTTCGCATGAGCACAGATCCATTGATCAATAATTGCGATACCACCATCGCCAAATTGTTGAATCCTATCAGGTGTAGCTTGGTAGGTGTTGATAGGAAGCTTCGATTTTAATATAGCAATTTCTGTGGGTGTAAATAGAAATACTTTAGTCAATCTACATTACTTGGAATGCATTGGCCTCATGCTGTACTAACTAGTAACATAGCAAAGCATAATCTCCATTTGGTCTCGAATGCTATTCAAACCTGATTCTTCAGCATCAGTAGCGAGGAAAACCTTGGAAAGATTCGTTTTTTTCATAGCTGACTTAATCTGGAGGACGGCTTCTTCAAGAGATGGAATATCATTTTTGCGGCCTTGCAAGAAATCTCTTCTACGTAAATGAACGGCCAAATAATTACCACCTCTCTTTTTGCTCTTTTTTACATTCAGCAATCGCCAGTCTGAATGCCTTACAATATGATCTTGTTCATCCGTTGAATTCAAAATTTCTTGGCGATAGCGATTACCTTCATCACGTAAATGTTTAGCAAATACTAAACTTCTTCTAGACTATAAAAAATAAGGAGTAATTTTCTCATTTTAGCTATTTTGAGGTCATCTTGAATTAGCATTCAAACTATTGCATTTACGAGTATATCTGCTAGTACTCTATTTCAAAAAGCTAACGTAACCGTAAATATTATTACAACTTTGAGTTCAATAAGTTTATAGAGTGCTGTAATTGAAGTGAAATGTGTATGATTGATAAGTTAGCAATTTTCCAATGCATCTCTTCAGAATAGAATAGTTACTTACATTCCAGTAGCCAACCTGGCCATATGCTTCGTGTAGCAAGTTTTCGGCTCGATCAAGTAATATTAGCCTAAAATACAAAAAATAGAAACGAATTTACAGATATTAGTTCTATTTGCATAAAATATTTTCCTCTGCCTTGCCGGGTAAACGCTATAAATCTTTAACTTAGAAGACACAAAGAGGTTGCCCTCTTTTACAGGTAAAAGTTGTTAATGCAAAAATTGAATAAATTGATCTGCTATGTTAGAATTATGGACACGCTGGAGTAAATTAATGGATGTCAAGAGGTTACGACTGGATCAGTCACGGTAGTGACATAATTTATCCTAGTCATTATTTCTTTAGTATTTGATGATTATTATATTTTGATCATATGTATAAAAAATTACAGCAGCCTATAGGGACTACTGTATAAATCCTGGATTCAATGTCATTTCATTGGAAAAGAAAGCATCATTTGTAACATGTCTTATCCAACCCATCATTGCGATTCTTATAACTCGTACTGTGTTATTGGAATATTGGTGCTATTTTTGTAATATAAGCGTACCTAAAAAGGTGTAGTAGCTCATAGAGAATAAAATCGTGAAGGGAAAATATACATTCCAATGGGAAAGAGTAAAGTTCATGGATTGCAACGTATGATTAAGTTAACGAAAGATTTACCTTAAAAATTGCTGATCATACCTAAAACTGAATATCCTAACCCTTGCCTATCAATATACGAGTATGTAGCAAATATAACATGCATTGTAAATTTGATATAAAGAAAGGGATAGACTTTGTAATTTACGCGAAATCAGATAGAGTCATAGAATACTGTAGGTACAGGCCTATACCAAGGACTTTTAAGGCTAATATTAGTCTTAAAAGTCCCTGCCTACACACTATAGGGGGCAATTATTGTAATTGAAAGTTTCTTGGTTCTAGCCATTGCAGGAAATGGATGCTATCATCAACAGTCAATCAACAAGTTTTACAACGCAAAGGTCAGAGAAATTTGGTAAGACTATTTCATAAAAACGACTCCATGTTGTCTAGTTTGCTTTAAAGCAAGATAGTAATACTATTACAGTATGTCAATTTGCTTTTATGGAGCTGTTGTATCGTTGCTATAGAGAGTGAAAAGGAGCATAATTTTAACCTTCAATTCATTTGGACATTACCTGGCTTTGCTCTGCTGCAATTTTGGAATGATAATACTAGTCATACCTTGAGCCAACATACAGCGCAATTTTCGAGCAGTAATACCCTTCAGACCAAAGAAATAGCCATAGTAATTTCCATTCATTAATTTATATTTTTGATTAGATTGACAATTGGTTTCTTCAACTTTATCGACAAATTGACCGCCTTCAAATGGATCAGGATAGGGTTGTAAATAGATAATTTCATCAATGGTTTGACCAAATTGATTGATATAATCTTGATATTCCATGACAGGAATGAATTTATTTAAACTTGAGATATCGAAGAATGTTTTCCATGGTAAAGGAAATTGCTTTGGAGATGGAGTTGATCGCCAATGATACATTCTCTTCCAAGGAGGAAGAACCAAAGTCCAATGATAGTGTTGGCGTTGATTGAGTTGAATAATTAAATTGGCTATTCGCATGTAAACATCTCGTCTTAGATTAAATCCTTCGCTATCGTTGACATCATAAATTAAGTAGCGGTTACGATGAGTTGAAGAAGTAACTTGTATGTGATCAGTATTGGAAGGTAGAAATGCATGAGAAGTATCCTGTTGATGTTCAGCCTCGTTATCGTCATGCTGTGCATGAGTGGCCACCATCAATAGCATAACTAAAGGTAAATAACAAATCGAGCGGATCTTCGTCTTCATCCTTTATCCACCTAATTAAGATAATTAAGTTGTAATCTCACATTGATTTAATAATAATTAATGTATTGAAAGTAAAAAAAAAAAATGGAGATTAGATTACAGTCAAGTTTATTTCTATCTCATACAGTTTTCTTTCTAAGTACATTATTGAAACTAGTTTAAAGCTAGAGCAAGCAAATGATTGCTTGGGAATCGACAAGTTGTGTGCACTATTACATCCAATGCTGCTGTACCATATATGATCGAAAGAGAGAGCAAGAATCACTTCTAATCATCATCACTACTTGACTAGCCAACCTATTTTTACTATCGAGACGAATTATAAGATGATCATCACCGTCGATCAATCCCGTTCAATTTTCATCGTGGCCATTGATCACATCCATCACTTCCAACGCCAATTACATCCTACTTGCAGAGTACGATAGGATAAATTGCAGGGCAACAGATGCCAATGGATGACAATACGCCAACTAGAGCAATTGCTTAATTAATTATGGAATCATTGCGTCATAATATTATAATAACAATTGTTGGATACAATAAGGCAAGAACTAGTAAATTTATCGGGGAATTTAGTAGTGTATGAATAAGGCTTTCAAGCACGGTATAGCAATAGTCCATCGTATAAGTATAGTAGTCAATAAAATAAATAAATAAATCCGTTCAAACGATGGATAGCGATCATTCCATCCATGACTACTGCCAACGGAAGGATTGGCAAGATTGAGTCATTCATGGTAGTAGCATGGACTACTAAAAGAAGACCTTTAGGAGTCCATGGTAGTGGCAAGCATTGCAGATTTGTCAATAAATTTTGCGTTCATATTTGTAAAATCATGATTATCAACTCAATGGCGAGCTTAGCACAAGTCGATGCTGCAACATGGCTATAACTTGCATTGAGCTCGATTTTTGTGAATTGAATGCGATGCTGTTGAATAAAGTATTTCATTAATTATATACGGGTATACGCGTATACTGCAGATATAGGAAAATTGGGGGGAAAAAAATAAGTCAATCCATGTCATGAACTATATTAGAGCGATGGACGAATGGAGGACGCAACTGTCATAGCAAGTAAAATAAATTGTTATGGCTATTGGCTTTTTCTCATGGTACGGTATTATCTGCTGCTAAAAATTAAAGACATGGATACGACAGCTATTGGCACAAACCCAAGAAATTGCGGTATGCGTGAAGAGATATTGGTGATATATGTAATACACGCCATACCGTGAAATTGATGGTATAACAACAATTCAGCATTGATTTCAACGATTCTTGAAGCTCCTATAAGTAAGATTACTTGAGGAATGTGCAAGAGCATTCATTTACTCAAGTAAATTATAAATAGATGATCAAGGCATCACATTTTACAATTTTTGTCGGTGAAACTGTTTCCCACAGTAACTTTATGAATTTCAATACATATTCTGATCAGCGATGCTAAAAGAGTATTAATGATTTTACATTTTGCAATCAAACTAGCGATAGCCTTGTTATCTACTGTCTACAGTGGGAAATTATTTCCTTGAACGAGTTTGTCATTGCAGTCTCTATTCTATTCCGCTGAGCAAAGCAACTTTTTTGGCCATATCAGTTTTTGTAGTCCAATTCCATTTGGAAAAAATTGAGCTTTCCTATCTTTAGTCTATGAAATGATCTCTTGTAGCAAGTTTGTCATCTCAGTGCCCATTTATGCTCAGCTTTACAGTCATGAAGAGAAATATGGATTCTTTTGTAACGATTAAACTAGGCAAAACGAGCAGCCTGAGTGGTTAAAGTGTTGTAAAATAGTGTAGAACTACTAGCAAGTTTATCCATTTTAGTGCACATTCAGCTCAGCTCGACAGTCTTAAACATCGATATAGTTCTTCGTGATGATCAAGCTAGACAAAACGAACAGCCTGTGTGGCCAAAGTAGTGTAAAATAGTATTTCCGGAATTACTGGCAAGTTATCCTTTTTAGTGCAACATTCTGCTCAGCTTTTACAGTCATGAAGACTTTGTAAAGATCAAACTAGACAAAACGAGCAGCCTGTGTGGCCAAAGTAGTGTAAAATAGTATTTCCGGAATTACTAGCAAGTTATCCTTTTTAGTGCAACATTCTGCTCAGCTTTTACAGTCATGAAGACTTTGTAAAGATCAAATTAGACAAAACGAGCAGGCTGTGTGGTCAAAGTAGTGTAAAATAGTATTTCCGGAATTACTGGCAAGTTGTCCTTTTTAGTGCAACTTTCTGCTCAGCTTTACAGTTTTCAACAGGAATATGATTTTTTTGTAATGATCCAACTAGGCAGAACGAGCAGGCTGTGTGGTCAAAGTAGTGTAAAATAGTATGGAATTACCGGCAAGTTGTCCTTTTTAGTGCAACACTCTGCTCAGCTTTTACAGTCATGAACACTTTGTAACGATCAAGCTAGGCAGAACGAGCAGCCTGTGTGGCCAAAGTAGTGTCAAATAGTATTTCCGGAATTGCTGGCAAGTTGTCCTTTTTAGTGCAACTTTCTGCTCAGTCATGAACACTTTGTCACGATCCAACGAGACAAAACGAACAGACTGTGTGGCCAAAGTCGAGTGAAATAGTATAAAATGACTATCATCATCCTCAAAAGCCATTTCTTGCGTAGAAATAGTCATGGAATGAATTTCAAGTTAATCCCTCGCAGGATCTACTTGGCGTAGATCCACCTGGCGATGGTTTGCATTATTTTAGACCCTGATAGAGGATCTGTAGTTTGCAATTTTTAGAGAGCGTTGGAGTCTGTAGTTCCGTTGGAGTCTGTAATTTGCAATTTTTAGAGAGCGTTGGAGTCTGTAGTTTGCAATTTTTACAGACCGTTGGAGTCTGTAGTTTGCAATTTTTAGAGAGCGTTGGAGTCTGTAGTTTGCAATTTTTACAGACTGTTGGAGTCTGTAGTTTGCAATTTTTACAGCCTGTTGGAGTCTGTAGTTTGCAATTTTTACAGAGCGTTTGAGCCTGTAGTTTGCAATTTTTACAGACTGTTGGAGTCTGTAGTTTGCAATTTTTAGAGAGCGTTTGAGCCTGTAGTTTGCAATTTTTACAGAGCGTTGGAGTCTGTAGTTTGCAATTTTTACAGACTGTTGGAGTCTGTAGTTTGCAATTTTTACAGACCGTTGGAGTCTGTAGTTTGCAATTTTTACAGACCGTTGGAGTCTGTAGTTTGCAATTTTTACAGAGCGTTGGAGTCTGTAGTTTGCAATTTTTACAGACTGTTGGAGTCTGTAGTTTGCAATTTTTACAGACCGTTGGAGTCTGTAGTTTGCAATTTTTACAGACCGTTGGAGTCTGTAGTTTGCAATTTTTACAGACCGTTGGAGTCTGTAGTTTGCAATTTTTAGAGAGCGTTGGAGTCTGTAGTTTGCAATTTTTACAGACTGTTGGAGTCTGTAGTTTGCAATTTTTACAGACTGTTGGAGTCTGTAGTTTGCAATTTTTACAGACTGTTGGAGTCTGTAGTTTGCAATTTTTACAGACTGTTGAGTCTGTAGTTTGCAATTTTTACAGACTGTTGGAGTCTGTAGTTTGCAATTTTTACAGAGCGTTTGAGCCTGTAGTTTGCAATTTTTACAGAGCGTTGGAGTCTGTAGTTTGCAATTTTTACAGACTGTTGGAGTCTGTAGTTTGCAATTTTTAGAGAGCGTTGGAGTCTGTAGTTTGATCCTAGCTGGAATGAATGACCGTATAGGATAGCCAATCAGAGACAAGTAGAGAAGAGCACATCGAACGTCTTTTAAAGTAAAGTACTAAAGTGCAGTAGTAAAGGAAAGCAGTGACGATTGAATTGTACGGTATGGTCAGGACAGAACAATAATATTGTACACGTTGTGCAGAAATTTGAAATACAGAAAATGGAAAGCAACGACCAATGGTTGCTTTCAACTTGTAAGTTGATACTGTGCAGCACAGTAGGGCTTTCAACAAATCATGTTATGGTTCATTGTGGTTAAATTGTCCAGCCTACTATACTGTAGATTGTAGAATTGTATATTGGCTCTTCGTCTTTGCCTTGTTGGAAAGTTTTTGTCCGGTGGTGTAAGTTTGTCACAGGAGCCAAACGCAATCCTACGCTTTTGATCAACGTCCATACGTCACATAGCTTTCGCGCCAAATCGCATTATTGCTTTGGTATTTCGCGCCACTTTTGGCTCACGTGTTGCTTGCAACAATAACACCACCGTGGATTATCAATGGCTTCAAACAATGCAATCCAACGCTTGAATCGTTTGCAACGTTGATCGACACAAGTCACACTGGAACAGGTCAGCCGTTGGCCATGTTTGACTCCAAGTTGGAGCCTCACTCGTCGACAAGGTGTCACTGGGGACTCGGTCCAGTGCGTACCGTACCGGTACCCTAGCCAATAATGATGATCGTCCATAGTAGTCGTTCTCCATCGACAGGAGCGAGCGATATCTTGCAAGTGAAGTGACAGCGCTGACACTACACAACGCCTTCAACCACAGTGGGACAACATTGTTCATTCAAAATTACTGTCAGTGAAAAATTGCGACCAATTTTCCTTCAAGTACTTGCCAAATTGCACTTTTAATAACTTAATCATTCAAAGAAATTAAAATCAAGGCAAGCTTTCTTGGTAAGTATTGCCAGTGGCATGACAGTTTGTAGCCAATAAGGAGAGATAGATTGATTATTTTTGCAATAGTGACGACGCTGACAAGTCAAAGTTCCACTTGATCATCGTGAAATCACACAGCAATTTTCAAAGTGAGAAATTCATTGGCGACTCTTTGAGGTGGTTTTTCCTCCTTTTTTCCCCCTACAGTGGATTCGTAGCCAACATGGCTCACTGAGAATAGTAGATAGACGACAGTACAGTACAATAATCCAATGCTAGCAATATTCCTACATCCAGCTTACAATCGACAAATGACGTCTACACTTTACGCTTGTAGTTCCTTACATAGAGAAGCCATCAAGTTAGAGTACTCGATAGACTGGAATGACATGATGGACCAAAAATGCATTACAATCACTATTGCATATCATTGCCGAGAATAGTGGATAGACGACAGTACAGTACAATAATCCAATGCTAGCAATATTCCTACATCCAGCTTGCAATCGACAAATGACGTCTACACTTTACGCTTGTAGTTCCTTACATAGAGAAGCCATCAAGTTGGAGTACTCGATAGACTGGAATGACATGATGGACCAAAAATGCATTACAATCACTATTGCATATCATTGCCGAGAATAGTGGATAGACGACAGTACAGTACAATAATCCAATGCTAGCAATATTCCTACATCCAGCTTGCAATCGACAAATGACGTCTACACTTTACGCTTGTAGTTCCTTACATAGAGAAGCCATCAAGTTGGAGTACTCGATAGACTGGAATGACATGATGGACCAAAAATGCATTACAATCACTATTGCATATCATTGCCGAGAATAGTGGATAGACGACAGTACAGTACAATAATCCAATGCTAGCAATATTCCTACATCCAGCTTGCAATCGACAAATGACGTCTACACTTTACGCTTGTAGTTCCTTACATAGAGAAGCCATCAAGTTGGAGTACTCGATAGACTGGAATGACATGATGGACCAAAAATGCATTACAATCACTATTGCATATCATTGCCGAGAATAGTGGATAGACGACAGTACAGTACAATAATCCAATGCTAGCAATATTCCTACATCCAGCTTGCAATCGACAAATGACGTCTACACTTTACGCTTGTAGTCCTTACATAGAGAAGCCATCAAGTTGGAGTACTCGATAGACCGGAATGACATGATGGACCAAAAATGCATTACAATCACTATTGCATATCATTGCCGAGAATAGTGGATAGACGACAGTACAGTACAATAATCCAATGCTAGCAATATTCCTACATCCAGCTTGCAATCGACAAATGACGTCTACACTTTACACTTGTAGTTCCTTACATAGAGAAGCCATCAAGTTGGAGTACTCGATAGACTGGAATGACATGATGGACCAAAAATGCATTACAATCACTATTGCATATCATTGCCAAGAATGCGTACTGGCTGCGCCATAGTCTATCCTTTGCAACGACACGACACGCTAGTTTACAAGCGATGGCGTCGTGTTATTGCATGGATGACGATACGAGTAGCCTATGAATCATAATCAATTACTTGTTTATGAAAGCATGTTGTCACTGTTCAAATTATTAGAATGCAATACTTCTGGCATGAAGAGACGAAAGAGTATGACTACACTTTTGCGAATCATGCAGTTTTTATCACCTTCAATCAAAGTAGCAATCATAGCTTGACGTATTATCCTTCCCTGTTAAAGTGTTGATACATGTCAGGTCTAGATACATCATTTTCCTCATCAATATCAACCAACTGTAATCATCTTGCACAACTAAAACCTATTTGAATGAAATCGTAAATTATCCATTTTGCATCTCTTTAGGTAAGAAGCCACATATTGAACAACATGGATGTGTTTGCTCAAACTGTTAATACCGGCCGTGCTATTGACAACCTTGGAGAAAAATGCCAGTTATCATTTTATGAATTCTTGACACGGTAAAATTGAATACAATGCTAACGTTATCATACCAATACTAATGACATACAATGTTTGTGTCATCAATATGAAATTTTACTTCAATGACATGTTACTCCCCAAAACTTTGATTTTCAATTTCATAGACAGTAGAGATTAAACTGCATGATATGCAAAAAACTCACTTTACCTACACAATAGCGATATACAGTACTGTAGTGGATGCAGCATTGTTTATACTTGATATTGTACAGTACTTCAACATTTTCCTATACAGCGGTTGAGGGCAATAATAAAAGTGATTTACTCCTTTCATTGACCAGGTACGAAGCTGATGGAACTCCAAAGTATTACGCTGATGTAGCTCAATTAGTTCGACCTGAACGTAATACACTAACAGTTAGCTTTAAAGATGTTGAAAACTTTGACTCCGACTTGGCGGTGACGATACAGCAAGAATATTACAGGTATAGTCATCACAATTTACACCATAACACGCCAAAAAAATAATCCAACTCTAATCAATGTCGTATACTGCATAACCACATGATGATACGCATATATTCCAATGATATCACCTCAGTTATCGTACTTGTTGCCTACGCATACATTCATGTCGTAAATGCTAATTTCCCCTTCCAGCTAGTTGGATACAGATCAATACACGTCTAGCACGCATCAATGTACTGTATTGTTCGTGACCTGTAGAATTATTGCTACTTATTGAATATTTTGTATCAATCGTCATACATTCTCGTATATAGAGTTTTTCCTTATTTATGTCGAGCTGTAAGAAAATGCACTCAAGAACAAGACAAGATACCCCAAGAAAAAGAATTTTTCATCAGTTTTGCTGACTTTGATACTCGACACAAGTAAGTCACTAGCAATACATCGTGCAGGAAATATGACACTAAAATCCTGGAGTAGAAATAACAGGATACATAATCTTCATTTATCGTGACAACTAATGCAGTAATACAGTACGGTATAGCATAAATTTAATCCATCCTAGAAGCCTTTTTGGACGATAAAAATTCAATGCCTTACAATAACTGGATTATTGACTGTGCGTTGTAACAAAATAATTAAGGGTACGTGAGATGACCACTCAAAAAATTGGCAGTTTGCTCAAAATCAGAGGCCAAGTTGTTCGTACTCATCCTGTCCATCCTGAGCTAATAAATGGGACTTTTATATGTCTTGAATGTCAAGCTGTCATCAAAGATGTCGAACAGCAAATGAAGTTCACTCAGGTAATGAATAAAATCGTTGTAATAAAATGGATGATAGTGGTAATCTATTTCAGTAATTAAAATTATCAAAAGTAGACCGTGACAGATTTCTTGATACTCCTTTTCTTTACAGCCTGTGGTTTGTAGGAATCCTGCCTGCCAAAATCGTTCAAAATTTATGTTAGATGTCGATAAATCAATTTTTGTCGACTTTCAAAAAATACGAATCCAAGAGACCCAAGAAGAGCTTCCCCGAGGCAGCATACCTAGAAGTATGGAAGTGATTTTAAGAGCTGAAGCTGTTGAACAAGCGCAAGCTGGTGATAAATGCGATATTACCGGAACCTTAATTGTAGTGCCGGATGTTTCTCAGTTGAGAACACCTGGTCAGTATTTCAACTTTAATGTTACTTCATACTTAATTGCGGTGTTACGAAATATTTTCAAACAGCACAATTAAACTATTACAAACAACTTTGAACGCTAATAGGTACAACTTCAGAGCCTGCTTCAAAAAGGCGAACTAATGATGGTTATAACAATGATGGCGTAAGGTGGGTTCAAAATTTACTTTCTAAGTGAGTTGTCATATTGAAGTATATTTATTTTTTCCTTTGCAACTTTAGTGGCTTAAAATCATTAGGCGTACGCGAGCTATCCTACAAACTTTCGTTTCTAGCATGCAATGTTACTCCGGTAGATGCAAAGTTTAGTGGACGGGATGCTCTAGGAGATGAAATGACTGCTGAGAGGATCAAGAAACAAATGACAGAGCACGAATGGCAAAAAGTTTATGAAATGAGCTCCGACAAAAATCTCTATCAGAATCTTATTACTAGTTTATTCCCTACAATTCATGGTACTAGTTCTATGAAATTATTTTAATGACTATTGTAATTATAATTTAATATTGTATTAATTGATGCTGTAACAACGACGACATGAGTTGCAATTACAAAAACAGAGCATGTAATAGTATGATACATGTTACTGTAGGACAAGACGAGGTGAAACGAGGAATTTTGCTAATGTTATTTGGAGGTGTACCGAAAACAACCAAAGAAGGCACTAGTTTACGTGGGGATGTCAACGTATGCTTAGTTGGAGATCCGAGCACAGCTAAAAGTCAATTTCTAAAGTAAGTTATTTGTGTCGTACGCGTATATTGGTATTTACGCATGCTATACTACTATCGTAGGATTACTTTCTTGGTAATTAATTATACAGATTAGCAGTCATAAATTGCATACTTTTAACTTGTACCATACTTACTGTTTGCTATCATTCCATAATATTAGATTTGTGGAAGAATATAGTCCAAGAGCAGTTTATACAAGTGGCAAAGCTTCCACAGCTGCTGGTTTGACTGCAGCGGTTGTAAAAGACGAGGATTCTAGAGAATTTGTTATTGAAGCTGGAGCCTTAATGTTAGCAGATAACGTAAGTCTTTTTAAGATTTAAACCAGTATAACTTGTTTTTAAAGCCGGTTTGATGAAATTAGAGGATTAGTTCAATGAATGGCGTACTAATATTACTATTAGGGTGTATGTTGTATTGATGAATTCGACAAAATGGATTTGCGCGATCAAGTTGCAATTCATGAAGCTATGGAACAACAAACAATTTCAATAACTAAAGCCGGTGTAAAGGTAATTATTGCAAGATATCCATTTGTTGTATAATGTACAATACAAAACGATAATTTATAGCTGGTGATTAATCGTTTCATTATCGATAGGCAACTTTGAATGCACGTACATCCATTTTAGCTGCGGCAAATCCTATAGGAGGATGTTATGATCGTAGCAAGTCACTAAGGGTAAATTAATGAGTCATTGCTTGCTGACAAGAAATTGTATCGTTTCTAGCATTATCGATAAGTAGAATATTTTCCTTTCATTGCAGCAAAATATCTCATTGAGTGCTCCCATTATGTCCCGCTTTGATCTTTTTTTCATCCTTGTTGATGAATGCAATGAGGTTTGTTGATATAACTTAAATGTAATATCATATTTATAGCTAATAACTCGCAACAAGATGCTGTAGTTTTGACACTAAATTAACTTTACAACCGGGTAGGTCACTGATTATGCAATTGCCAGAAGAATTGTAGATCTTCATAGTCGCAGGAAGGAGTCTATTGATCGGATTTACTCTCTCGTAAGCCATATACATACATAACACACTGATACATCATTAGTACTTTGATTGTTTGATTAATTTAATTTGGTGTCAATCTATTTAGGACGATATTCGCCGATACATGCTATTTGCAAAACAATTTAAGCCTAAGGTGAATTTTACCTACTAGCTCAGTACGCAAAAGTTGTTGCTATGTAATTTATCTATCTGTCTTCTAACATATAACGGATTTGTAGCTAAACAAAGAAAGTCAAGAGTTTTTAGTAGAACAATATAGAAGATTGAGGCAGCGAGATAGTGGTGGTATGTCTTGCTGAATTCTTTTTAGCTGCTTTCTTAGCGATAAAATTTTGTATCACTTTTATAGCGCATGTGATCACTTTTATATCATCTTCATTCGTAGCGACTAAATCTGCTTGGAGAGTGACGGTTAGACAGCTAGAGAGCATGATACGTTTATCTGAGGCAATGGCTCGCATGTATTGTCAAGATGAGGTATGTTAATTGCTCATATAATGAAGATTTTGAGTGATTTTAAGCCCAATTATTTCATGATAGGTTCAACCGAAGCATGTCAAAGAAGCTTTCCGCCTCATAAATAAATCTATCATTCGCGTTGAAGTACCTGACGTTGAATTTGATGAAGAACGCGATGAAATGGGATTATCCCAAGGTACTATAGAAATAGTCTTCTCTGCTTCCTTTTACTTGTTTTACGATCTAATTCGTATCGGGGATATTTACTTTATGGATTGATTTATCGTTATCAGTTGAGAATGCTGAGGATAAGGAGACTGTTACTGACCCTAAATCTCCAGAAAGCGATAAAGGCATGACAAAGCAACCTTTAAAGATTTCTTTCGAGCAGTATAGACAAGTTGCAAACTTACTTGCCTTACATATGAGGCAAGAAGAGGAAAAGCAAACAGATGAAGGTAATCTTACTGGACATTCGTTACAGCCCTTCGGGTGTTCGAGTATACGTAAATCGTTTCAATATTTTCGATATATTGGAATTAGGTGGGTTACGAATTAGCGATGTTGTTAACTGGTACTTGAAGGAAATCGAAAGCGAAATTGATACCGAAGAAGAACTAGCTCAGAAGAAGATTTTAGTTGAACGAGTGATCGATCGATTAATCAATTATGTTAGTTGATGATAATAATACATCAGTGACGCATGGTTCTGTTTACTAATAGTTCTGTTTCGTTTAACGCAGGATGGAGTTCTTATAGCTCTCAAAGAGCCTGGATTGGAATCCGGAGACACCGAGAAGCCAGATTCGCAAGATCCTTACGTTGTTGTACATCCTAATTACGCTATTGATGAATATTAAATTTGGTTATTGTCAAGGAATGGGCATTAATGTCTTAAATGGCTAAGTTGTAAATTTTTAAGTAAAATGAAGATATCTGTTCTGTTCAGTAGAAAGATAGCTCCTGGGATCATGGATAACTAAATATTTTGAATTCTTTATCTGATATTTACTACGAGTATTTTAATTAGCTATGAGTTGTTCTATTTTAATATTTCTTGGCTTCGTTGCACTACATGTAATATTCACTCTTTCAGACGTACTGTAATATGTACAGTATGATATTTTGCACAATACAGTACAGTATCTGAAATGCTCATTGACTATGTTTACTATATTGTAAAATAATCATACTATTCTAGTGTTATTCTTGTTCGGGCAGAGACAGTTCAAGCAATCATCACAGTTTGAATCATTGCCCAGATTCTATCGGATCACGAATGAGTCTTTCTTGCATAAATACAATTTAATGCAGTGCTTCCAGTCTAGATTATAGTCTAGGCTGATATGTAGCTATTAAAATGCTTCATTTAAGAGAGTTTACACGATCTTGTAAGTAATAAAGTGAAGTTCTCAACAGTTACACGATAGATGTGATGACAAAATAGTTCAATGGCAATAACAAATAACCAATTAAGCAACAATAATTAATAAGAGTCATAACTTGTGAGTCTTTTCACTCTTTGATGGTTATTATGATTACCGTCTTGTTCGTACGCTAATGCACTCATACAGGAAATAGCAGCTTGGTAGACCGTAAACAAATCCATCGCGCAATGTCGATTAAACATTTTTTACACTATAATAGTACAGCGTAATTTACTGAAACCGACTATTATACAAATTTTACTTATGTCGGTCACGCGCATTTGCAATCCATATCAAAACCAATCAAATACCAACCATAGCGATATATCATATGGTACCAACTACGGTAGTATCAACTATTGAGGTTTCTTTGATCTAGAATCTGGAATTGTATCTAAGAAATCTTCTTGCTTAGTTGCCCAAATAGTGTATCCATCTTAGTTCAAACAGATGAGCAATAAAATACAGCAACAGTTAAGGCATTTAACTTATAGACATTAACTTTACTCATTCATCATGTTGAAAGAGTTATTATTAATTATTATTTATATATATACATATAATTCGTTGCAGTATGCCGGTGCTGTGTATACGCGAATATAGACATACAGTTAGTGTTGTGTTAATATTATTATGATGTTGCAGGACCTTTCACTGTAACTGCTTGGTCAAACTGTTTTCATTACATGAAATAACTCTATTTCTTAGAGTACTTTACCTGATTTACGGTGTTTATCTTTGTATCTGATGGCTTAATATGGATACAATAATTGATTCCATGTCATGCGAATGCATAATATGTACTGCATTATTGTATGTTGTGCGCTACAGAACTAAATTTAATCTTACCAAATTCAGTATACGCGTATAAACTGTACAGTACATACATGCATACCTACTGCATGTCAGTAACAGTCCCTAGACAGGCACCTCCAGAGAGTTCAAAATGTCCAAATAGATTTCTATTCTGTACAGTTGAAAGTGCTATCCTCCGTATTTTTACGCAATAAGTAATAACAAAATTGAATTTTACTAACTGTGAAGTGGACAAAGCATTGCAGTAAAGACATAACCATCAGGACGCACTCGACTTAAATTATGAATAGTGATAGTAAATCATGAGCATGGGTTGGATGATAAGGATACAAACACCAATCACTGAGGCAGTTAGTATGCCTAGGATAGTGAAATTTCTGCCTCGAAATTTTCTGAGTCCTTCAAGGTCTGCCGTACCTCTGGATCTAAACTCGTCCATGCGCGAGGATTTCATCGACTTCACAGCAGCACTTTTATCGTTGGTTTCCATCGCTTCCTTTCAATTTAATATTTCTTTATCAAATTTTTCACTTTGTTGTCGTCTAAGTACAGTCTATTCAATGCTATATCTGTGAAAAAATTCGAGGTGTGAGAGAAAATTTCGAAAGAACTAAGTGATTGAGATCAGCTAAATGATGTAATAGCGTAATTCAATTCAATTTTACAGCCAGATTGCTATAAAATCCTCAAGACTTGAGTACATTACTCAAAAATCAAGTATGTTATTAGACACTGCCAGCGATGCCATGGTACAGTACGTGGTACTGTCGTCGTGTACAGTGTACAGTGTACAGTACAATACGTGGTACTGTCGTCCTGTACTGTACTGTACTGTACAGTGTACAGTGTACAGTACAGGTAATCGGGCGTGCAATTTTTTAGTACTGTACTGTACACTGTACTGGATTGCGACAAGGGCTTTTTTCGGTAAACTGTCCGATACGTTAAAAGGTGGTCGAACCATGCCAAGTACTGTATAGAGATATATAGTACAGTCATTTAACTTGATGATGTCGAACCATTTTTATTTTTGGACTGGTAGCAATAAAAATGGTGATTATGATACCAATTAGAACATTTTATCGTCCATACACTTGCTACTCTTTGGATGATATAATCGGCTCGGCTTGATCCTGGCCTTTTTTAGACCCAGTTAATATATTAAAGTACAGTAATATTGAATAATTAATTAGTCTACGAAGGCGGGTAGATGCTTGTCAGCATTTTTAATACAAGATTCTACTGTGTAAAGAACGGAAGAATTATCTAGAAAACGCGGTGCTATGCTGTACTAGCCTGCACCATACCTGCACGCATCCGGGTTCATCTCGTGACTCTGCGGTATAGTAGAGTGCTACCGTAACTCGCTATGCTCGAAATGTTCTGTGGTTGTTATGGACTAGGCGTCTAGGCGACTAGGCCTAGAGTATCACGTCTATTCAGACGGTAGGCATGGACAGCGATGGACTACCTACCAGTCAACCACTTTAAAATAAAATAATTAATGAATTAATGAATTACTCATTTAGTAGCACTGTATATATAGTGTATAGTGTACAGTACAGTACACTATACTGTACATACACTGTACTGTACAGTATTAATTTAGAAGTGTACAGTACAGTATAGAAACTTATGGAAAAACGAAAATTACTTTTATGACTGGGTTATTATTAAATTCAAATGCTTCTAGAATCTTCGATCGCAATTGTGGTGCAGTACCGTACAGTACAGTATAAAAGTAGTGTAGGACTATTCACTCATTCTTTGCTAATAATTGTCAGTAGACAGCACTACCTAGAGACCACGTACAGTGTCCTCTGAGGAAATACGAAATCTTCTGCTTCAACGTTTTGAAAAAACCTACCGAATATGTAAGTTGGTAGCTTAGTCTGTTTGTTATATACTCGATATGAATGGTATTGATTGAAAATATGTACAAACTTACGATAATGCATCTTGCACGTTAAATAACATGCGGAATTGAAGGAAAATGTGTAGATTGAAATTTCATGCTTGACAAAAGACAACTGCATCTAGGAAGTTAAAGGTGGCTTTTTAGCGACATACCAATGATCTATGCTCACTTTAACTTAATGAAAGCCTTTATTCAATTATAGTTATGCCGTAGCTAGTAGAAGTGAATTGTTGTAAGTAGGAATGATTCATTTTTTCGAAAGCATGGCTAAAGCAAGGATGTCTACGGTACTGAACAGTAAATGAATCTCTAGTGGAGATTCTGTAGTATTCATGAATTAAGATAATTCTAAAACTTTGGGGTTGAATTCGTTTAGTGCAACTACTTGCCAACTTATCAATTTTTGCAGCGATAAAATTTTAAAATTTCTTACTCTGCTTCCAGTAGTTTCCATAACTTACTCTTCAAATTCAGAATTTCAATGGAATTACTTTACGCACTACTGTTACACTTCTTCTTCAGTATACAGTACGGTATGTACTGTATTGTACTGTATAGTGTACAGTATAATTGATTTTGTTCATTTTACCAATGACTGCATGCTGTCACTTAAAAGGGGTTGACGTCATAGTCAACAGCGTGACCTTGCATTAATAAAAGAATGATTCCATAAGAACAATTACACATCGTACAGTACGTTACCGTATAAATGACAAGAGCCCGCTCCCGTTCTATAGCACGTGCTTTGACACTGGATTTAATGTAGTCGACTAATACCACGTTCCAATTGGCTTTGATACAATACATGTTGTATGATTTTGGATCGGAGTCAAATTGAGTTACAACATTTGAACTGTAATTCTACTGTAACACTGTCGGCGCGGAGCGTATGCTTCGGTCTCTTCAATCAAAAACTGTAGACCGCATTTAGAATTGCGGTAATCACCGTTCGCACTATTAGCGAATTATGAGTAGTGCAAGCTTATTGACATGAAATTTAAAATTTTTCTATAATGGATTGAAAGTCCATCATTTTAGACTATCTAAATGAATAAGCGAGTAATATCTGCTTAGAATCACTAATCAAAAATGCTTGACGTGCTCGTGACGATAGTACAGGGTCTTAAACTATGCTTACTTTATTTGTAATAGCATCATGAGTAAAGGTCCAGCGGTTGGGATTGATTTGGGTACGACGTATTCCTGTGTTGGAATCTTTCAGCATGGAAAAGTCGAAATTATCGCAAATGATCAAGGTAACAGAACAACACCAAGCTATGTAGCTTTCAATGACTCTGAGCGTCTCATTGGTGATGCCGCCAAAAATCAAGTAGCAATGAACCCTACAAATACTGTCTTTGGTAAGTTCATCGCGTAAACTTAAAACATACTATACTACAGTACAATACAATACAATGACCACATGCTTTTAATTAAGCAATATTCAAGAATCTTATTCGACCAACAGTACTTGATGCATAGTTTTAACAAATTATACCAATTTTTAGATGCCAAACGTTTAATTGGACGTAAATTTAAAGATGGCCCTGTCCAATCCGACATGAAGCTGTGGCCCTTCAATGTAAGAAGTTATTTATAGAACTTGCATTATAGTATGAAATAATTCATGCATTTCATAAGAAAATTTTTCTTGTATCTACTATTAAACGTAAATTGCTTCAATTTGTTAGGTCATTGATGAGGGCACTCGACCAAAAATTTCTGTTGAATATAAAGGTGAAACGAAAACTTTTTACCCGGAGGAAATATCCTCCATGGTATTGAATAAAATGAAAGATACTGCTGAAGCGTATCTCGGTAAAAGCGTCACTGATGCTGTTGTTACGGTACCTGCCTACTTTAACGATTCTCAACGACAAGCTACTAAAGATGCTGGCACCATCGCTGGTTTGAATGTTATGCGTATTATTAATGAACCTACAGCAGCTGCTATTGCCTACGGTTTAGATAAGAAAGTTGGAGGAGAACGAAACGTTCTTATCTTCGATCTTGGTGGTGGCACTTTTGATGTATCCATTTTAACAATTGAAGATGGTATCTTTGAGGTAAAATCGACAGCTGGAGACACTCATCTTGGTGGTGAAGATTTTGATAATAATATGGTCAACTTCTTTATGGGCGAATTTAAACGCAAGTATAAGAAGGATATAAGCGGAAACAAGCGCTCTGTCCGTCGTCTAAGAACAGCTTGTGAAAGAGCAAAGAGAACATTGTCTTCAGTCACTCAAGCCAGTATTGAAATTGATTCGCTATTTGAGGGTATCGATTTCTACACTAGTATTACAAGAGCTCGTTTTGAAGAATTAAATGGCGATCTTTTCCGAAGCACTACGCAACCTGTAGAGAAGGCGATACGCGATGCTAAAATGGATAAATCATCAATCCATGATATCGTTCTTGTAGGTGGTTCTACACGTATCCCCAAGATCCAAAAGTTGTTGCAAGATTTCTTTAACGGCAAAGAACTAAATAAATCCATCAATCCTGATGAAGCCGTTGCATACGGCGCTGCAGTTCAAGCGGCTATATTAAGTGGTGACAAGAGTGAAGATGTCCAAGATCTGTTATTACTTGATGTTGCTCCCTTGTCACTCGGTATCGAAACGGCCGGTGGCGTGATGACGGCTTTAATTAAGCGTAATACTACTATTCCTACCAAGCAGACTCAAACTTTTACCACTTACGCTGATAATCAGCCAGGTGTCTTGATTCAGGTGTATGAAGGGGAACGTGCAATGACAAAGGATAATAATTCACTCGGAAAATTCGAGTTAAGTGGCATCCCTCCAGCTCCACGAGGTGTACCTCAAATTGAAGTTACATTCGACATTGATGCAAATGGTATATTGAACGTTTCAGCTGTTGAAAAGAGTACAGGTAAAGAAAACAAAATCACGATTACTAACGATAAAGGCCGATTATCTAAAGACGATATCGAACGCATGGTGAACGAAGCGGAACAATACAAAGCTGAGGATGATAAACAACGCGATAAAATTTCTTCAAAGAATAGTTTGGAGAGCTATGCTTACAATATGAAGAGCACAGTTGAAGACGATAAAGTTAAAGATAAAATTAGTGACGATGACAAGAAAGTCATTTTGGATAAATGCACGGAAGCTTTGGATTGGTTGGATAAGAATCAAACTGCCGAAAAAGACGAATTTGAATATCAACAGAAAGAGCTTGAAAAAGTTTGTGCGCCTATCATTACAAAACTGTATCAAGCTGCTGGTGGTGCGCCCGGTGGTATGCCTGGTGGTATGCCTGGTGGTATGCCTGGTGGTATGCCCGGTGGTATGCCCGGCGGTGGTGCTCCACCAAGCGGTGGCTCTGGTAGTGGGGGTCCAACAATTGAAGAAGTAGATTAAAATTTGTAAAGTAAAATTCAAGCCTTACGTAGATTAATATCAATAAAAATTTATTAAATGTTTGAATAAAAGTTTTATTGCTCCAATTTCCGTTATAATGGTATGGTATGAAGATGTAGTAGATACAGGATACTTAGAAATTATTGTTAACATCCTTAATAGTATGGTTAACTGTAATAGTTTGTAGTATTTAATTACCCTACACGTAAGGTATCTGGATCGTAGACCAGTTACGGACTGCCGTAAGTTTATGAATTGTACGAATACGCATATAGCTCACGTACGCTTAAGTTGTATTGTACGTGAATCAGTGCATGTAATTGGATTTAAGATTAAGGGTTAGTAAGATTATTACAACTTTAAGTAGAAATACGAACAGAAGCTAGCTAGTACAGTTTATGTACTGCAGTATATTGTGCTGTCGTGGTGCTTAAAGTAATCCTTGTAGTGGCTATTTCTCAAGTACTGTACAATATTCTTTTAATCTTATAAAATATAATATTTATGTAATCCATGACAGTTTATTCTTAAAAATTTGTCCTGTATTGTACAGTACTATCGGGCGACCACCACCAAGTTTAGTTGTTCAAATGATATCTTAATTTTAAATGACTGATTTTTCCAGTCAAACTAATCGAAATCAATCGCAATAAACAGCCGTTAGATGTTATCATATAATTAATTTATTAATGCGCAATAAAGATTTACAGATTGTTCATAACTGGGAAATTATTACAAAATACTACAAGATTCGGATAGTCCGTTAGAAGATTTCTTATTTCTAATAAATCACAATCCTGGATAGATTTTAGATGACCATAAGCTAAAGCGTCCAATTCTGTAAGTCTAAATATAATAAAAAACTCAGTTACCTTTCCGTGAGATTCCATGTAACAGGCATTCACAAAAGATTTATATAGAGTATAATTTGCTTATCTATCGGAACTACAGTACAGTACGTAAACATTGATTCATATCTGTGATACTGTGGAACATAATCATCACCTATCGTCAAAAAAGCGAAGACTTGTTCCTAAGCGATTTGACAATGCTTGTAGAACTTGTTTGATCGTTGATTTGGCATCACTATAGACAATAGGTAATTCTCGATTTCTTAAAGAGCGAATAATTGATTGCCTTTTCAGCCAAGGTATAATCTGATTGAGCGGAGACGGTAGATTATCACCATATTTGTGTTTAGTCAGCTGTAAACGGGTAGAAAGAATTTTGTTAACGACCATTTTTGTATGAACAATATCTGTTGTAATAACGTAATCGTTATTTCAAACTAGGAATTTACATTTGCATAATTATCATCGTTTCCCCATGTAATGCACATCTACAGTCAAATAGTGACATAGAGTAAATTGTTAGTACGCTATGATTAGGATGGCTGAAACTCTGATTAGAAATTTGGCTACACTTTGCATACCTCTGCCGGTAATAGTTTATCTTGTATTAACGATATATAAGCTTTCATGTCAGCTGTTGTCTGCGAATCTAAAAGGCTACTAGCGGAGCGTTCCTATACAAGTTAAAAGAAAATTCAAATATTAGTACGCACAGTATTCGTATCCAGTGACTATCTGATAATTACATAAACGATGAGACTACCAGCGCTAGCTTAATGCCGGATACATGATGATAATGATACCTTTAGCTCGATAAAGTTGGCTATGGCATTAAATCCGCAAAAGAAGAGTGGTGGGACACGGATTATAGGGACAACACCTAGCACAAATGTCAAGTCTTAAAATACTAGCAATACGGCAGTTACTGACCCTGCTATGGTACCGTATATTATAAAATTATTTCATTATATGCATAAATAGCTAATTTCATTGCAAGTACATGACCAGATGGATCGTAGTGAAACATATCTAACAATTGTACTAATAATCAATTGTACCTGAAGGAGACATAAATTCCGTATTAGATCTAACATGTACGGAATATTCAAGTCGAGAAATAGCCAGATAAGCCTATTATTACAATTAGTAAATTGTTAACGGTTATTTCTGGAATAGGACTTCGCACGATTGATATATTACAAGTTTATCAGTGATTAATTTCATTAAAGTAAGAAGTTATATCTAGTTTTGAATAGGTCAAATTTTAACGTCTAAGTTAAAACGTTCCACATTATCGAATTTTATTGAAAGGACACACTATAACAGCAAAGGAATCTACAATTTCAATTGTGTCCAACCTTAACAGCAAGTTTCTCTCCTTTTTCATATAAAAGTTCTTCATCTATGCCAATGTAGAAGATATATGTTGTTATCATTCAATACGTAAAGACTTTAGTTGAATTTATGCTCATCATTCTCGATTTAAAGCGGCTGCATAATACAGTACAGTATTAGCTGGTAAGAGTTTGAAAATAGTTGATTACAAGAAAGGGATGGGTAACAATATGATGAATTGTAATTACTTGTATTACTTGAAGAGACTATCAGTGAAGCTGTAGTAAAGAATTTTAATGCGCTCGAAAATATCTGAATGAATCGCGTCAACATTGTCACTGTTTATGATGATTGCAAGACTATATTGATACGAGGATACTGCGTAGATTTAATATCGGATACATGTTATACAACATAACGTTCTATGCTAAAATTTCGATGTTATTTCCAGGAGAAGCAAAGTTATCTATACTGTAAGGAAAGTAATACCAATATCTTAGCTACAACGTAAGTTATTCTATTCTTAGCTACGTTTCTAATATTAGATGACATTGCATTAGCACAATTGGCAGTTATAGGTCCATTCTGAGTCTAATTCTTGCAGTTCAAGTTATATTTACGTCACATTTTATTTCTACTCTTAAATTGTAACGGATCGTCTATAGTTCTCGTCCATGATGTAGAGTAATGATGGTAATTGTAGGGAGGATGTCTAGGATCAAAAATAATCAGTGTCTGCTCCGAGTGGATGGAAGTGATATAATTGCATGCACTATAAAAATGTGAAAAGAACCAACTTTTACGCACAAGTACATCATTAATTGGTGATTGACGTATCTTGATAGTTATATTGTGGGTAACTTGCAATCATCAGGGCCGAAATTGTAACTACATCTGCGATGACATGGCATATACAGGATTTTTATTTATTGGAATTTTAACAAGAGAAGAAAGTTTGTGATATTGTTTTAAAAAAATTTTGATATTGAACTTTAGAAGGAGGCACATATTAAGTAGAGGATGAATTTAGCAAAGATACACTGTAGTGGATTATTTGCTATACGCGTATGTGACATTTGCACTTTGAGAATACCTGATGGTTTACAATATAATTCGATGCTTTTGGTCCATGCTTCATCAGCTGAAATAGTAAATTATAAATAAATGAAAAAGTACCATTAATGTAGATTAATATCATCAATGAAATCGAAAATATACTGATATATATATATAGGATAGAAATAGTAACTGAACCAGTGCAATAATAAGTTAGCGCGAATGGTTTGAGACTACAGTATAACGTTGCAAAGATCTGATCATGTATTACGAAACGATCCTAGGCGTGGTATTTAGCAGGCGTTTCACTGCTACCACCCAAGAATGCTATCATGCTATTGTAATACAGTAGCATAGATATTTACTTTAATATCTTGAAATTTATCCTTGTTTTTAATTGTAAATTATCCAACTTATCCTTGCTTGAAGTCCGGTAGTAGTATTATCGTGTGATGTCGATTCAAAGTTGACTAGCTGATGAATGCGTCGTAGTCGTATGGTACAATAGTACCATACGACATGATGACTAACAATTTCTTGAGGTGCATGAGTCGCCTTAACAGTACAGGCGGATAATTTGATACTGTACACATTCATTAGGCGCAATTAATCAGTAGTTATCCGTTAAGAGCAGGATTATCTTGTACTTTATGTAGCACTTGTCAAGAGTAGGATTATCGTGTACTTTATGTAGCACTTGTCCAGAGCAAGATTATCTTGTACTTTATGTATCACTTATTAAGAGCAAGATTATCTTGTACTTTATGTAGCACTTTTCAAGAGCAAGATTATGTATCACTTGTCAAGAGTAAAATTATCTTGTACTTTATGTAGCACTTGTCGAGAGCAAGATTATCTTGTACTTTATGTAGCACTAGTCAAGAGCAAGGTTATCTTGTACTTTACTGTATGTAGCACTTGTCCAGAGCAAGATTATCTTGTACTTTATGTAGCACTAGTCAAGAGCAAGGTTATCTTGTACTTTACTGTATGTAGCAGTTGTCCAGAGTAAGATTATCTTGTACTTTATGTGGCACTTGTCAAGAGCAAGATTATCTTGTACGTTATGTAGCACTTGTCAAGAGCAAGATTATCTTGTACTTTATGTAGCATTTGTCAAGAGCAAGATTATCTTGTACTTTATGTAGCATTTGTCAAGAGCAAGATTATCTTGTACTTTATGTAGCACTTACATGGAGGTGCAGTTGCCATGATGGCTTGAATTTGGTCCTTGAGCGTTTGGCAGACTGAGACGAGCGATCGATGGATCTACTGTACTGTACAGTATACCGCGCTGCTCTGGACTGCTACAGTACAGTCAACCATAATGGCGTTGAAAGTTACAGTGTACAGTACACACCCTACGATACGTCCTGTACTGTACACTGTACAGTACAACCATGACAGCAATCGTATCACTGGTGCTGACTGGCTTTGCGGTTGTAGTACCGCTGGGGGTGAACCGTTTTTGAAATGAAGGCGGGTCATTCAAAATCCAAGTCAACCACAGGACAAAGAAATATTTCAATGGATTTCCACTGTTGACTTTGTATGAGGGAAAAGTGACCGTTCAAGAGCGTCAACTGCAGTGGTGTACGATACCTTCAAGCTTCGCCCCACAACCGTCTACGTATCAATACCGTCATCCTACTGCAGTCAGTTCCGTCTTGGCCATTTTTCCTTCATGTCGTGAAGGAACATTTCCAGTTGTCCTGGAAGAGTTTCTTTGGTCCTTTGCCAATTTATATCTTCCAAAAAGTCGTCCAGAAGTGAACAGACCGAGAAAACATTCAAATTGAACTGCAACGGGCTTCCACTGGGTATTGGTACAACTGCTTTGTCAGTGGAGGATATCAACAGCAAGGAAGAAAAAGCAACAGTTCATTCTTTGCGGTCATTGAGTAAAAAAGGCCATCTAGTCAAAGTGCAGAATTACCCAATACAATCAAAATGGATCTAATCGATCAATATAGTGCAACGAGTTGCCATGAAATCTTACCAAAGATTAAGGTAAAATTGCCACTGTAATAATATTATTGTTCAATGGATAGACAAGTACTTTTGTTAACGATGTACCATTCCATTTTGAAAATTGAAACCGTTGCAACTGGGTCATTAGCAGTAGTACCATTCTACTTTTTATTAGTTATAATACTGTAGAACAACAAACTGCAAGCAAAGTACAGTTACTAAATGGTCATTCTATGTACAATATAAAGCCTGTCGATCTCGTTATGCAATTGTGTACAATATACTATACAATGAGGACACACAAGTACAAGCAATAACCAAGTTGTTTTGATCTGCACACTAGACTGCGTTCTCGTCAGCTAGGATAAAAACCTTTTACTGCTACTTTTCCACTAAGATCATGCTAAAATAGTCTACAAACATAGCCATACGCCATGCAAGTGTACAAAAAGAGCAGATTGTCCATTTTATACTGTAGGATTTGCAACGAGGAAGAAAGAAAGACAGATTCATACTTCAGTCGCTCTTGCTCAACACAGTAGGATTAGCCACAATCGAAACTCTCACTGATATAGCTAGTGGGTGGTGCAGTAGTACTGTATACGATATATACGTTTCATCTTCATTTATTTGAATTAATGGAATAAATTGCAATTCGATGTTGTGATCCATGGGCTAATAAAAAAACCACTCCAGTCTATGTGTGATGCCACTTCCCTAGATAATAGTCATGCTCATGAATGATATACGAACTCATTCAATCAATTACGATTCATCCTCTTCCTTCATAAATATAGGATCATATAGCCGCATTGAATAAAATTCACAAGCAAAACAAGAATACAAAGTCTATAAAACAGGAAGTGATTATGGCAATGAAAATGCTCAAAAAATCAGTGGACATTTTAGCTCAAGACAATCATGACCTCGACACTGTTGAAACAATTTGCCAAATATCCCATACTGTTCTACAGTATTTATCCAAGCTACAACAACTGACCACAGTCGATTCCTTGAAAGTGGGCAAATTAATCTATTGTATGTCGGATAAGCTATTAAAGAAACAATTTGTTAACCAGTCATTGGTATGGATCAAGTTATTGCATGATAAATTAACTGATAAAAAAATGAAAAAGAAAGATTTAGATAACGATGAGCATCAAAAATTACTTATTAGTGGTCATCAATTATTATGGAGTTGTGCATTCCGAATTGAAAAGTGGGATATTGATCAACGAGAAGCTGTAGTCTTAAAATGTCGAAAATTAAGCTTAATGCTCGCCATTGCTGCCAACCAACAATTAGATTGGATCGTTGATAAAATGATTCGTAGTTGCCATTCTTACCTTTTTAAATTTGATAAGAAATGTTGCAATCATTACCAAATCATTGCCAATTTCTATGGTAACTTTGAAAATTGGGCAAACCAACAGTTACAACAGCTTATGGCTTGGTTAACGTGTGATGATCAAAGGCAACTTGTCAATTTATCAAGCCTCTTAAGCTTTTATAGTAATTATTGGTGTTGTCATTACCTAGCCGGTAATAGCCAAGCTGCCATTAATTTAATCAAACAATTGAATAAATTGCTACTACCGAAACAAAATACTAACAAGTCTATGATAGCTTTAATTGTTGCGGTAACAACGCTATCTAGATTGAGTATTGAAATATCACAATTACCTATTGAGACACTATCCATCAATAATATCTACAGTAAGCAGAAACAAATTATACAAGCTTGTCAAGAATTGACGAGATGCTTAAAATCTTTTCAACTCACTCAAAGTTTATTTATACTAATTGAATTATTCGAAATTGTCAAATTAACAGCAAATAACATCATTCATGATTATTCGTCTCGTTGCGATCATGAAAACGATAATAAGCAACTGGCTTTTATGTTGGATAGTTATAATCGATTACTAAGTCTTAGCATACCTTTAACTACAAAATGGGAAAATGATGGTATCAAGACGGAAAAATCGTCAACAGACGTAAACAATAAATTATTAGATCGTTATCTACCTCTACTTGCGTGCAATTACAAGATCCTATCTTTGTACATAAAATTTAACCAATCTATATTAGGTAACAAATTATCCAATTCTGTAATGTGTTATGCCAATTTATCATTTCTAAGTCGTAAACGTTTCAGATTAGCGAGTATGAAATATTTATTTAGTATGTGCTTTATTATCCCCTTAATTGCCTAAATTGTTAATCCAATGTTCATGTAGGTATTCAAGAAAAAATAACTATTAGCGACTTGGCTGATCAATTCCTAGTTGTCGCCAATGAGAATTTAAGAGTTACCCAACATATGGCAAATCTTAAAAAGATTTCATGGGAACGACGAAATCTAGGCGGAGTGGCTTATTCTATTGGATTATTTCTATTTAATAAGAAATATTTTGACGTAGCTGAAACCGTTTTGCGTCTCACATTTACTACATTAATACAATTGCGCAATAATGAAAGTGATAGTCAGGAAACAGATACGAATAGTATGGTAAGTAAGCCAGTCTACTCTTTAGATTATGCATTCTTTTCCTATGCAGTTGTTAAAATACGCTCCTACACCTTACAGGATAGATTGACTAGTTTTCATAGCGTAGTAAAACTATATTGCTATCAACATAAATTGATATTGGTCACTCATGGAACATTGATTTGTCTTATTTAGGCAATTTTGTTAAAAGTAGCAGTTTTACGTATAGACTGCCTGAATTATTACAAAAATTACGACGAGGCATTCAAAATGCTAAAAGATTTTATTAGTAGTTTAATGACAACTTCTAAGCCATTACCCCAGCATATAATGCAAAAGATAGCAGATACTTGGGTTAAAGTTAAAGTAAATGCGATAGAAGAATTAACGGATGACCATGCCATTCAACTTTTGAGAAATAGGTAACTATGACTCACTCTATATGGTACAATAGTTTAAGCAGTTATCAGGTAGATATTCTGTCGCGCAAAAGAGTTCTAATTACATGTTGATGAATTTCTAGATTTTTGGAATCAAATTTGGAAAATATGAATCATGATCAACGTCTATCACTATTAGAAGAGGAATTTAATTCGTATAAAACTAACAAGTTCGTAAATTTTAATGTTTATTAATCTGATATTTATATTGGGTGCTTATTCTTAATATACAAATGAGCTAGCTTTATATCAGATGATTAACGTTTTGTCACTATACTATGTGGATGAACAACAGATCGGACACCATAAATGAACAAATTGCTATTATTAACGAGTTGTCAAAAAGATATGACAGCAGAAATATGTTGCAGCATAAGTGCTGGATATTAATAGAATTAATGCAATTAAATCGATTATCACAGGATATGCAACGGTAAGCCACATGCGTTTGTTCTACCTTTATTGTGATATTTATGGAACAAGTTGTAATAATATATTCATTCTTTGTTATCTAAGTGAATTACCTAGGGATACATGTAAAGAAATTATAAATACGTTAACACTAGTAGAGAAGGATGAAATAAATTTTCCTTGCGCCAAAGATCTTTTAGCTACAGCACATTTATGGCTTGGCATTTGTATTATGGAAGAGCTTATGTCTAATGTAGGCTTATTTTCATTAAATTGATTAACATTATCTCATAATTTGTAAAATCTGATTACTAGTAAAAATGTTATTGTAGCAACAGGATATCAGAAAAGATGCTGAATTACCATTAAGAAATTTTATTTTGGCTATGAACATTTGGAGCTCTATCACAAATGATGGAAAATTAGATTCTAAAAGAATCTGGAGAGTTGACATCACATGCTCTAATCTAGGGTTACTAAGCGATTTTTTCGCATTACATGATGAGGTATGACTTTTATGTATGAGATAGTGAATATACGGTACTATATTATTGTCAATAAAACTAAAACTAATCCGCTTTCTTTCAATGCAGAGTTGTTATCGAATTAAAGCTTTAACGTTGAGGTTAATACTTGGTGAAGCTATAACAGAAGATAGCATAGGCAAGAAATCGTACAATGTAATAAAGCAACAGACCGTTATGAAGTATTGTGAGCTATGTTATATTCTTTGCCAGCTGAAGTTGGTATCGTACGCAACAGCATTAGTAAACAGAGGTAGACAAATTCTTAATCAGCTATCGAAGGAAAATCCATCGCAAATTGATATGATAGATGTTTACCTTCAAGTGACCACTGCCTTAGTTGAAGTTTTAAAGGGAAATGTATGTTAAATGTTA